AGAGACGTTAGAAAGAATTTTTTTTACTGTCAGAGTAATGGACATATGGAATGCATTAGGAAGTCAGTAACCTGTACATTAGTTGATTGACTGTTGAGAGGCGGGACCAAAGAGCCAGAGCTCAACACCTGCAACCACAATTAGGTGAGTACACACACACACACACTGCCAGTTGATTGACAGTTGAGAGGCGGGACCAAAGAGCCAGAGCTCAACCCCCGCAAGCACAATTAGGTGAGTACACACACACTGCCAGTTGATTGACAGTTGAGAGGCGGGACCAAAGAGCCGAAACTCAACCTCCGCAAGCACAACTAGACGAGTCCACACACAGCCATGCCAGGGCCAACCAAGGAAGCAGCCATAACTGAGATAAACACCGGCGGCCAGAACAGTACCCACGTGGACGGGTATCCAAATCAGGTCGTGTATGAACTAAAGTATTTTGGAAGGATTAAACGCGCAGGGCCGTGTTTGGCTGGTCTTAACCCGGGTTATTTTGGTCACCAGAGAGAAATGCTTTTTGTATGCAAATTTGGCGTGTGGGGGTGACTCCAGTTTACAGTATGGACCGTCGACCTATCGAGTTGTAGATACCAGTGTGCATACTGTTGGTATGTCAATGTTTTGATCGTGCTCCAGCTCTTGGCCCCCGCTTCATAGTTAATCGACCGGTATTATTGCATCCGCAAACCAACAGGTGTTTTTCTGTATTTATATTTAATTTGTGTATGGAGTTAGCTCTCACTACTTTTCCCCTGGTAGTGTTCTGCTGCACTCGAGTAGTGTTCTAGTTCCCCTGGTAGTGTTCTACTGCACTCGAGTAGTGTTCTAGTCCCCCTGGTAGTGTTCTACTGCACTCAAGTAGTGTTCTAGTCCCCCTGGTAGTGTTCTGCTGCACTCGAGTAGTGTTCTAGTCCCCTGGTAGTGTTCTACTGCACTCGAGTAGTGTTCTAGGTAGTGTTCTACTGCACTCTAGCAGTGTTCTACTGAGTAGTGTTCTAGTCCCCCTGGTAGTGTTCTACTGCACTCGAGTAGTGTTCTAGTTCTAGTCCCCTGGTAGTGTTCTACTGCACTCGAGTAGTGTTCTAGTCCCCCTGGTAGTGTTCTACTTCTACTGCACTCGAGTAGTGTTCTAGTCCCCCTGGTAGTGTTCTACTGCACTCGAGTAGTGTTCTAGTTCCCCTGGTAGTGTTCTACTGCACTCGAGTAGTGTTCTAGTGTTCTGCCCTGGTAGTGTTCTGCTGCACTCGAGTAGTGTTCTAGTTCCCCTGGTAGTGTTCTACTGCACTCGAGTAGTGTTCTAGTCCCCCTGGTAGTGTTCTACTGCACTCGAGTAGTGTTCTAGTTCCCCTGGTAGTGTTCTACTGCACTCGAGTAGTGTTCTAGTCCCCCTGGTAGTGTTCTACTGCACTCGAGTAGTGTTCTAGTCCCCCTGGTAGTGTTCTGCTGCACTCGTGTAGTGTTCTAGTCCCCCTGGTAGTGTTCTTCTGCACTCGAGTAGTGTTCTAGTCCCCCTGGTAGTGTTCTACTGCACTCGAGTAGTGTTCTAGTCCCCCTGGTAGTGTTCTACTGCACTCGAGTAGTGTTCTAGTTCCCCTGGTAGTGTTCTACTGCACTCGAGTAGTGTTCTAGTTCCCCTGGTAGTGTTCTGCTGCACTCGAGTAGTGTTCTAGTTCCCCTGGTAGTGTTCTACTGCACTCGAGTAGTGTTCTAGTTCCCCTGGTAGTGTTCTACTGCACTCGAGTAGTGTTCTAGTTCCCCCTGGTAGTGTTCTACTGCACTCGAGTAGTGTTCTAGTCCCCCTGGTAGTGTTCTGCTGCACTCGAGTAGTGTTCTAGTTCCCCCTGGTAGTGTTCTACTGCACTCGAGTAGTGTTCTAGTTCCCCCTGGTAGTGTTCTGCTGCACTCGAGTAGTGTTCTAGTTCCCCCTGGTAGTGTTCTACTGCACTCGAGTAGTGTTCTAGTTCCCCTGGTAGTGTTCTACTGCACTCGAGTAGTGTTCTAGTTCCCCCTGGTAGTGTTCTACTGCACTCGAGTAGTGTTCTAGTTCCCCTGGCAGTGTTCTACTGCACTCGAGTAGTGTTCTAGTCCCCCTGGCAGTGTTCTAGTTCCCCCCAGTAATGATCTACTTCCCCCAGTAATGTTCTATTTGCCCCAGTAGTGTGTTTATTTCCTCCTTAGTGTGTTCTACTTTCCCCTAGTGTGTTCTGCTTTCCCCTAGTGTGTTCTACTTTCCCCTAGTGTGTTCTGCTTTCCCCTAGTGTGTTCTACTTTCCCCTAGTGTGTTCTCCTTTCCCCTAGTGTGTTCTACTTTCCCCTAGTGTGTTCTCCTTTCTCCTAGTGTGTTCTACTTTCCCTAGTGTGTTCTCCTTTCCCCTAGTGTGTTCACCTTTCCCCTAGTGTGTTCTACGTTCCCCTAGTGTGTTCTCCTTTCTCCTAGTGTGTTCTACTTTCCCCTAGTGTGTTCTACTTTCCCCTAGTGTGTTCTCCTTTCCCCTAGTGTGTTCTACTTTCCCCGAGTGCGTTCTACTTTCCCCTAGTGTGTTCTCCTTTCCCCTAGTGTGTTCTACTTTCCCCGAGTGCGTTCTACTTTCCCCTAGTGTGTTCTACTTTCCCCGAGTGTGTTCTACTTTCCCCGAGTGTGTTGAGCTTTCCCCCTAGTGTGTTCTACTTTTCCTAGTGTGTTCTCCTTTCCCCTAGTGTGTTCTACTTTCCCCTAGTGTGTTCTCCTTTCTCCTAGTGTGTTCTATTTTCCCTAGTGTGTTCTCCTTTCCCCTAGTGTGTTCACCTTTCCCCTAGTGTGTTCTACTTTCCCCTAGTGTGTTCTCCTTTCCCCTAGTGTGTTCTACTTTCCCCTAGTGTGTTCTCCTTTCCCCTAGTGTGTTCTACTTTCCCCGAGTGCGTTCTACTTTCCCCTAGTGTGTTCTCCTTTCCCCTAGTGTGTTCTATTTTCCCTAGTGTGTTCTCCTTTCCCCTAGTGTGTTCACCTTTCCCCTAGTGTGTTCTACTTTCCCCGAGTGTGTTCTACTTTCCCCGAGTGTGTTCTACTTTCCCCGAGTGTGTTGAGCTTTCCCCCCTAGTGTGTTCTGTTTTTTTCCCTTTGCATGTTCTTCCTCCGTCAAGTGTTCTCTACTTACCTTTGCTTGTTCTTTCCAAACCATCCTCTTGTTTAGATGGTACTTTTTGTAACTATCTTGAGGTAGTTACAAAAAGGGCTTTCTACAACAGGGCTGCAAAAAAGGGTTCACTGACAGTCTACTGAGCAGTTTCTGACAGAGTCCAGGTTTCCTAGGGAGTTATATATGTGTCACCGGCTGACAGGTGTGGAGGCTGTATGCACAGTTCCAGTGTTGGACTAAGAGCCGTAGGCAGACCAGAGCCAGTTGGGGTGATAAGATGCCAAGTTTTCCTTCAGAATAACCTGGAGTTGTAACGAGTTAAGTTATCCCTTGAAATATTTCGTGTGTTTATAAATATAACTTTGTCATCTTCTGACTTAGCTTTTTCCCTACTTGAATGCCAGTTGGGTCAAGTAAAAACCTTATTCCCCTAGACATGAAAATACACGACGCCCCCCAAGATATGCACTATAGCCTACAGGAAATCACTGACTAACTCCCAGGTACTATTTAGCAGGTAAGATCAGTAGAAAATTTGTTTCTGCCTTGAATCGAACCCACGCCACTTCAGTCCTTTATCAAACATTGACGTACTAAGCAATAAGGCAGTGACTTTGTAGCTGTATCAAAAAAAGCTAAAAAAACATAAATATTCCTAGGCCTAGTATAGCACACATGTGTACTATATGAGGCCTCAGATTATTTAGTCTCTGCAACATAAGTAGAATTTTTTTCCGGCTTGTTCAAATTCAATAGTACCGATTTCTACTTTCTTATTTCGTTGTACGTCGGTATATGTACTATGATCCTCATCGTTACTGTAAGTACTACCAAAACAGGAGGATGGGCTGACTTCCCCCCTCAAGTGTTCTCTACTTCCCCCCTCAAGTGTTCTCTACTTCCCCCTAGTGTGTTCTACTTGCTCCTTAGTGTGTTCTACTTCTCCCTAGTGTGTTCTACTTCTCCCTAGTGTGTCTACTTCTCCCTAGTGTGTTCTACTTCTCCTAGTGTGTCTCCCTAGTGTGTTTACTTTCCCTAGTGTGTTCTACTTGTTCCTTAGTGTGTTCTACTTGCTCCTTAGTGTGTTTACTTCCTCCTCTAGTGTGTCCTTCCTCCTAGTGTGTTCTTATTTTTCTGCCTCTTCCCCTAGTGTGTTTTACAATTTCGCCTACTCTGTCCTACTTCCCCCTAATGTATTCTACTTCATCTCCTAGTTTTTCTATTTCCCCCTAACATGCTTTACTACCCATGTACTGTGTTCTGGTTCCTCTGTAGTGTGTTATTGTTTCTACTTTAGTTTGTTCTACTTCCTCCTCTCATATGTTGTTCTTTCTCCCCCTAGTTTATACTACTTCCTCAAGCTTGTTCTACTTACTCCCTTTGTGTATTTTACCTCCCTCCTTTGTGCATTCTACTTCCTCTTCTTGTTCTACTGCCCCCCCCTAGTGCGCTCTAATTCCTTCCCTAATGTGTTCTACTCACCCTGTAAGGTAGTGTGTTATAATTCCTTAATGTGTTCAACTTACCCTATAAGGTAGTGTGTTCTAATTCTTCCCCTTGTGTTTACCTATTGGTTACCTATTAATGTTTTCGAGAGTTCTTCTCCCACAGCCAGAACTGTGTTCAGCCTTCTATTGTGATTGCGTTTGTGAGACTCTTCATAGGCCTAAGGCTCAAATAGCCATTACAACCAGGTTGATCCAATAATTCCAAGATTATAGAGCTCTCTCTCTTGAAACCTTTCTCAGTTGATTCAGCGATATTTCTTATATTTCTTGGCAGGAGATTAAACACCTGGTGGAGCTCAGATATTACACTGTTTACTGACCGGCCTCCTGCCACCTCGACCTTCCTGTGGGGTGTTGTATGCTTCCCACCATGGATGAGGCGGAGGTGAGGAAGCTTCCCGCCATGGATGAGGCGGAGGTGCGGAAGCTTCCCGCCATGGATGAGGCGGAGGTGAGGAAGCTTCCCACCATGGATGAGGCGGAGGTGCGGAAGCTTCCCGCCATGGATGAGGCGGAGGTGCGGAAGCTTCCCACCATGGATGAGGCGGAGGTGAGGAAGCTTCCCACCATGGATGAGGCGGAGGTGGGGAAGCTTCCCACCATGGATGAGGCGGAGGTGGGGAAGCTTCCCACCATGGATGAGGCGGAGGTGGGGAAGCTTCCCACCATGGATGAGGCGGAGGTGAGGAAGCTTCCCACCATGGATGAGGCGGAGGTGAGGAAGCTTCCCACCATGGATGAGGCGGAGGTGAGGAAGCTTCCCACCATGGATGAGGCGGAGGTGAGGAAGCTTCCCACCATGGATGAGGCGGAGGTGAGGAAGCTTCCCACCATGGATGAGGCGGAGGTGAGGAAGCTTCCCACCATGGATGAGGCGGAGGTGAGGAAGCTTCCCGCCATGGATGAGGCGGAGGTGAGGAAGCTTCCCACCATGGATGAGGCGGAGGTGAGGAAGGCCATGGATGAGGCGGAGGTGAAGCTTCCCACCATGGATGAGGCGGAGGTGAGGCGGAGGTGAGGAAGCTTCCCACCATGGATGAGGCGGAGGTGAGGAAGCTTCCCACCATGGATGAGGCGGAGGTGAGGAAGCTTCCCACCATGGAGGAGGCGGAGGTGAGGAAGCTTCCCACCATGGATGAGGCGGAGGTGAGGAAGCTTCCCACCATGGATAAGGCGGAGGTGAGGAAGCTTCCCACCATGGATGAGGCGGAGGTGAGGAAGCTGTGGAGGCTCACTGCAGGGTTAGGCCCATCATTCTTGACGTAACAGCAACATCAGTTAAACCAGAGGGAACAAGACCATGTATTAAATTAGGACTGCAGGTCTAATCTCTTAAGGTGACTAATACACTTAGTCTGTCTGCTGTTCTTTGACTAGAAGAGAGGCTTCACCAGACACGGGTCATGGGGATCGTCGGAGCAAGCAATCCACTCTCCGTCCTCCTCTACCGGATAGGCAGGGGTGTGAGGAGGAGGAGGAGAAGGAGAAGGGGGGATGGGAGGAGTGTATAATTGGTTTCTTAGATCTCATAATTTGGTTACTCAGGTTCCATTAGCGTCTCCTCGTCTGGGTTTCACAACAAGTACCACCTCGTTGATGATTATATCGTGTGTGAGAGAGAGCACCTGTGGGTGTGGGCTCGGGAGTCATATTCCTGCTTCCTTCGGTCAAGGAGGACTAGCTCCTAGACCCGCCTCGTTACAATCGAGCATCTAGTGTAACTTCAGTAATTTTGCCATGCCGGCTTCTGAAGTTTTGTGTAATTACCTAAGTGTAGTTACATGAGAGCTACACTACAACCCTCTAACACACAGTTTGCAAAAGATAACTGTTTAACATTTTTTCTGCACCTCTGTTTTGTTAGCTTGAACTTAAGGTTTCAAAAATTCCTCTACTCATTCCTTTATGAGTAGAGGAAAATTCCGTAGTTCCGCACTACTTTATTCCGTAGTGAAAATTCCTTTTCACTACGTGTACGTAGTGATCATCACACCTCTTTCTTCTATATTCTAGATTTGGCAAACTTAGCACCTGTAGTCTCTCCTCGTAGCTCTTGTTGTTTACTTTCTCAAGCCATTACTTTCGTCAAAGGTTGTGAGCAGTTTCATTAATACTTCACCATCCGTGTATTTCAAAATGATTCCGAAGATGGAAAACATAGCGCATGGTCCTCGCTCAATGTTCTTCATGTGGTCCTCTGGTGAATGCCCACTATTGAGAACCTCCCTTATATGAAGGGAGGTTCATCTCAGTTCTAACTCTTATCACAGTTCTTTAATATCTTTCCACATAATATGGAGGTTGTGTGTAGCCTATTTTCTCCTCTTCCACGTCCTGCTTGTAATTGGTCTTCTAAAGTCTGATATATTGCCTCTAATTACCGTCCTTATCTTTTTGTCATTTAGAAAACATTTCGTCAGTGTCAGCAGTCTGCCTGTCACCCCTGCAGCATGTTCCAGTTTCTAGAACAAACTCTTATGTGTGACTCTGTTAAAAGCCATTTTTTGGGCCCCCCAAAAATTATTCCAACCATTTCTTTCCTGTAAAATTTATCATGCGTTATCATATGTACTAAGTAGACTTGCTACACAAGATCTACCTGTTTGAGAACCATACTGTCTGTCTGTTATTGTATCATTTCTCTCTATTCTACCAATTTGATTTTTAACTATTTTTCTTGTGTTTTGACCACCTCGCGTGTCAACAATTCAGGTTTGAAATTTAGAGGGAATTCTTTGCTATCACTTTTGTAGATTGGAATTATGTTTGGTTTTCCATATATTTGCTGAGATTCCTGTGCATAATCATGTCTGAAAAATCAATTGAAATGAAATGCTTAGCTCAGGTGCGCAATTCTCGCAGAGCCCAAGGTGACAGCCAGGGAGGGTCCGGGATGGGCGGGTCTAGGAAGGAGGACCTGGGGGATCAGGGGTGTGAGGGGGGGGGGGCTTGTGGATCTGGTACGTGGAGGCTAGGAGGGTCTAGGGTGGTGTGGCTGGAAGTCTGGGGTTGGGGGTCAATTAGGCCATGGGATGGAGGAACTGGGGGGGGGGCTATGTGATGGGGGAGGGAGGTCAGGGGGGGGGGGAATGAAGGAGCGACTGGGGTGGGGGGGGGGCAGGAGGTCAGGAGTTGGGAGTGAAGGGAAGCCTGGGGTTGGGGGCTGAGAGGGAGGGAGTGGGGGTATGAAAAAAAGCTTGGGGTGGGGGAACAGGGAGGTCCTGGGGTGCAGGAAAGAATTGGAGAATAAGGAGGGCAAGGGGGACCTGGGGTCGGGCAGCAGAGCGGGGCATGGTCTGGAGGGGGTCTCTACCGGTTGGGGAGGTGCAGGTGAATGGGGGAGAATGGTCATGGAGTGGGATTGTGGGAGGCTTCTGTTACATTCCTCCTGGGAATATTGGCCTGCTGGTGGGGGGGATTTCCACTCCCGCCGTTCCCTCCCTTTCCTGTAGCTCCCCCGTTCCTATCCCTTCCCATGCATCTTCTCCTTGCTTCTGCCGCCTTCCTTCTCTCTTCCCTCGTCATGTCCCGCTGCAAAAATAAAAAAATAGTCCTTCTATTCCCCTAGTCTCATAAGTTTACTCTTCCTGGACAGGATTTACTCTTTTGTTGTCTCGGACATGAGCACTAACATTATCAGTTGTTTTCTTTCCTTCTTGTAGCCACCCAGCATGAAAACCTTCTCTGTTTCCATTAGCCTCTACCGTATCCAAACCTTTAAGACCTCTTTGTGTGTGTGTGTGTGTGTGTGTTGTGTTGTGTGTGTGTGTGTGTGTGTGTAATGTGGGTGTGTGTGTGTGTGTGTGTGTGTGTGTGTGTGTGTGTGTGTTAGGTGTGTGTATGTGTATGTATATAGGCTGATATATATATATATATATACTATATATATATATATATATATATATATATATATATATATGTCGTACCTAATAGCCAGAACTCACTTCTCAGCCTAGTATGCAAGGCCCGATTTGCCTAATAAGCCAAGTTTTCATGAATGAATTGTTTTTCGACTACCTAACCTACCTAACCTAACCTAACCTAACTTTCTCGGCTACCTAACCTAACCTAACCAATAAAGATAGGTTAGGTTAGGTTAGGTAGGGTTGGTTAGGTTCGGTCATATATCTACGTTAATTTTAACTCCAATAAAAAAAAATTGACCTCATACATAATGAAATGGGTAGCTTTATCATTTCATAAGAAAAAAAATAGAGAAAATATATTAATTCAGGAAAACTTGGCTTATTAGGCAAATCGGGCCTTGCATAGTAGGCTGAGAAGTGCGTTCTGGCTACTAGGTACGACATATATATATATATATATATATATATCGTTTTGTGACGATCACAAAACACTGATCATTTTATGCGGAAAATCCACAGAGAACCTCATTTCATATTTCTCTGTGGATTTTCCGCATATATATATATATTATATATATATATGTCGTACCTAGTAGCCAGAACTCACTTCTATGCCTACTATGCAAGGCTCGATTTGCCTAATAAGCCAAGTTTTCATGAATTAATTGTTTTTCGACTACCTAACCTACCTAACCTAACCTAACCTAACTTTTTCGGCTACCTAACCGAACCTAACCTATAGAGATAGGTTAGGTTAGGTTAGGTACGGTTGGTTAGGTTCGGTCATATATCTACGTTAATTTTAACTCCAATAAAAAAAAATGACCTCATACATAATGAAATGGGTAGCTTTATCATTTCATAAGAAAAAAAATAGAGAAAATATATTAATTTAGGAAAACTTGGCTTATTAGGCAAATTGGGCCTTGCATAGTAGGCTGAGAAGTGCGTTCTGGCTACTAGGTACGACATATATATATATATATATATATATCGTTTTGTGACGATCACAAAACACTGATCATTTTATGCGGAAAATCCACAGAGAACCTCATTTCATATTTCTCTGTGGATTTTCCCATATATATATATATATATATATATATATGTCGTACCTAGTAGCCAGAACGCACTTCTGAGCCTACTATGCAAGGCCCGATTTGCCTAATAAGCCAAGTTTTTATGAATTAATGTTTTTCGTTTACCTAACCTACCTAACCTAACCTAACCTAGCTTTTTCGGCTACCTAACCGAACCTAACCTATAAAGATAGGTTAGGTTAGGTTAGGTAGGGATGGTTAGGTTTAGTCATATATCTACGTTAATTTTAACTCCAATAAAAAAAAATTGACCTCATACATAATGAAATGGGTAGCTTTATCATTTCATACGAAAAAAATAGAGAAAATTTATTAATTCAAGAAAACTTGGCTTATTAGGCAAATCGGGCCTTGCATAGTAGGCTGACAAGTGCGTTCTGGCTATTAGGTACGACATATATATATATATATATATATATATATATATATATATATATATATATATATATATATGTCGTACCTAGTAGCCAGAACTCACTTCTCAGCTTACTATGCAAGGCCCGATTTGCCTAATAAGCCAAGTTTTCATGAATTAATGTTTTTTCGTCTACCTAACCTACCTAACCTAACCTAACCTAGCTTTTTTTGGCTACCTAACCTAACCTTACCTATATATATAGGTTAGGTTAGGTTAGGTAGGGTTGGTTAGGTTCGGTCATATATCTACGTTAATTTTAACTCCAATAAAAAAAAATTGACCTCATACATAGTGAAAAGGGTAGCTTTATCATTTCATAAGAAAAAAATTATAGTAAATATATTAATTCAGGAAAACTTGGCTTATTAGGCAAATTGGGCCTTGAATAGTAGGCTGAGAAGTGAGTTCTGGCTACTAGGTACGACATATATATATATATATATATATATGTCGTACCTAGTAGCCAGAACGCACTTCTCGGCCTACTATGCAAGGCCCGATTTGCCTAATAAGCCAAGTTTTCCTGAATTAATATATTTTCTCAATTTTTTTCTTATGAGATGATAAAGCTACCCATTTCATTATGTATGAGGTCAATTTTTTTTTATTGGAGATAAAATTAACGTAGATATATGACCAAACCTAACCAACCCTACCTAACCTAACCTAACCTATCTTTATAGGTTAGGTTAGGTGAGGTAGCCGAAAAAGTTAGGTTAGGTTTGGTTAGGTAGGTTAGGTACTCGAAAACAATTAATTAATGAAAACTTGGCTTATTAGGCAAATCGGGCCTTGAATAGTAGGCTGAGAAGTCCGTTCTGGCTATTAGGTACGACATATATATATATATATATATATATATATATATATATATATATATATATATATATATATATATATATATATATATATATATATATATATATATATATACTCCAAAATTCATTTTTATTTCTAGTCTGACGCGACGCTTGAACGCGTTTCGTAACAACGTATTACATTTTCAAAGACTTTAGTTTACACACACAACAGTAACCTAAAAACACTTAACAGAGTTTTACTAATTCTAACGCTAAACAGCTTGTCTTATATACTCGCATTTGGGTGAGGTGATATGTTGAAACAGTTTTGAATGAGGTGAACAAACTTTTGACCAACACAAGATAGAACACGGTTCAATGGGTATATATTGGATAAATGAGAGGGAAGAATGGATAAGAGATAAGGGATAAGAGCCTCGTTGGACGTAGAATCACAGTCAGTCTCCGTGGTGTAGTGGTAGGACACTCGCCTGGCGTTCCGCGAGCGCTATGTCATGGGTTCGTATCCTGGCCGGGGAGGATTTACTGGGCGCAATTCCTTAACTGTAGCCTCTGTTTAACGCACCAGTAAAATGTGTACTTGGATGAAAAAACGATTCTTCGCGGCAGGGGATCGTATTCCAGGGACCTGCCCGAAACGCTACGCGTACTAGTGGCTGTACAAGAATGTAACAACTCTTGTATATATCTCAAAAAAACAAAAAAAATAAAAAATCACTGTTTACCAACGTACCTATGGATGAAACAATCGGAATGATAGCGGACAGAGTGTATTGTGATCCGGCCTGTACTCCTCTTGACATACCAGAAAACATTCTAAGGAAACTACTCCAAGCTTGTACTAAAGAGGCACCCTTCTTGAGCCCGGATGGACACATGTATAAGCAAGTTGATGGGGTCGCCATGGGTTCTCCCCTAGGTGTCCTGTTTGCGAACTTCTACATGGGTACCATCGAACAGAAAGTCTTAGTCGACATGAACTTGAAACCGGCCATATACTGCAGGTATGTTGACGACATTTTTACACAGGTACCTGATGTCAGACATCTGCAGGAGCTGAAAGAGGTATTTGAGCGGAATTCTGTGTTGCGTTTCACTTACAAGATAGAGAAGGATGGGAAGCTGCCCTTTCTAGATGTAACAGTCATGGAAAGGAGCGGAGGTTTCCACACTGCAGTCTACACTAAGGAAACTGTTACAAAAATCTCCTTCAAGAGAGATTTGACCTGCTCTTTCCTATCATCATGTTACTTCAGTACATTTACAACATCTAGATACTACAAGTAAGTGTAATACGTATTGAGTAAAATACGTTTCTGCCAAGCACATAGTATCAGACACTCGCTCTCCACCTTCTTCGATCACCAAATCACCACTTCTAGCAAGCATGCTTCTGATTGGTGAATCGACATCTGCACCTCTGCACCTCTGCACTTCAGCGCCATCTACATAGCCGATGACTGAGCATGCACAAGCCATTTCATTTAGAATATCCTGTGCTCTCAATGCTGATACAACCATCTGATATACGCTCTGTTTATTAGTGGATGTTCTCAGCCAGCACTTTATTCTCAGCACCTGTTAATTCA